GATCCAGGGCAACCTGCATTGCCTGCAGACTGTTACCCCACTCATCCCTCTCTGGCTTCTGAGAATGGAAAGAAGGACAGTGAAGCTTCAGAAAGAGAATCCCTGCAGCCTGGGAGCAGACCATTTAGCCCATTGAATCAAGTGGAGCCTCTGCAGAGGATCCCACCTAGACCCACCCCAAGCCCAAGTGTAACCCTGCATTTGCCATGGAAAATGCATCTTGCCTGCACATCATTGTACTCTGGGAATAAACCCATGCAGATATGGGTGAACATGTAAACGCCAGTCAGCACCAGAGGCCAGAACCAAACCTGTGTCCCTGGTACTGAGTTAGCAGTGCTAACCACTGCCATCCTTCAACAACAGCTGTTTCCTCAACCAGCCCCCTTGCCCCACCAACTCCAACCTTCACATCCTGGAGGAGGACTCTGCCTCCACGCTGATTCTGGAATTTCAGCAGCTTCTCTGCATGTTCCTGCTTCTCCTGGGACTGATCTTTGAAGAACCGGGAGAAATGGGGGAGGGCAACATCATCCCGGTCAAAGTAGGAGATCTGGAAGACGGAACAAGTTACAGCCCATTAGGAAGTCATTGAGTGTTAGGGTCATTCTCAGAACGACAGGACCAGTTTCACCTTCTCAATCAAACTGAAGATTCAATGAAGGTGTTAAATGTCTTGTATATTAAAATGGTTGAGACCTGTTGTCCAGTTCAAGGATCTACCACAATAACCCCAGCCTTCTCTGGGTAAGATGAAGATATGATGTCTTTTATGTTGGTTTAAACAAGTAGTGAATTGCTCAGCAGGTCTATTTCTGTCATGTTCTGTCATATTCATGGTTCCACTCAGTCAGCTCCATCAGAATAATATGAATTATTAATTAAAGGGTTTAAGCAAATGCCAGGAGCTGGAGTGTCTGATTTAGTTGGATAGGGGCACCATATTTTTCCTTTGGGTTAAAGCTGGAAGAGAGATGTTGGACACTGCTGTAACTAATAACCAGGAGGGAGCAAGTTTTTCCTCATCTTGCAGATCAGTGGGATTGGATGTACCCTACACGTTAGCCGTCCAAGTGTGTTACTATCTGGAGCATGGAGGAGAAGGAGAAAGTGGCACCAGGAGTCTGCTCAGGAAAAACCTGCCCAATGACAGCCTTTGGATTGTTGCAGCAGTGTATTACAGGCCTGAGTATACAGTGCACTCCCATCCAGAGGCTGAGAAACAAGGGATCTGAATGAATAAAAGTGAAACTCAATTGAGTTAAGGTCAAATCCAGGACAGACTTCGTGACCCAAAGATTGAGTCGTGTTCTGCTGATAGATAATGTCACCAGCTCAACAAAAACACCCTTGCTTTTAACTTCAACCATTCAATATTTTCCTCCATATTTGACTCAAACCTGTCAATTAACATGTTCACAAGGGAACATGTTGGGGTTTATGAAGG